CCACGGTAGACTGTAACTGTCGTATCTTCCAGACAGCATAAGCTGCAGAGCTCATTCGTCCCGCTAATGATGTAATGTGAGGGAGACCCCATTGCAATTTGTCGTCTACAGTAATTCCCAGGAAAGTTGTCTCTTTTACAAACTCTAATTTCTCACCATTCAATAAAATGTGACATTCGTTGCTTTTAACATTTGGCAAACCAAATCTAATACATTTTGTCTTTTTATTGTTTAGTACTAAGTTATTTAATGTAAACCAATTTTGAACTTTCATTAGGGCATTATTTACGTCGTCATAATTATTTGTGCGTCTAATTATTTTAAAAACTAATGAAGTGTCATCAGCAAATAATACCATCTGCGGTTCATTTTTAAATAAATGGGGCAAGTCATTTATGTACACTAAAAATAAGAATGGACCTAGTATCGAGCCCTGCGGTACACCCATAGATATGCAAGCACCCTGTGAATTTACTTTATTTACTTGCACTTTAAGTTGCCTATCCTGAAGGTATGATTTCAACAGATTTAGCGACGTCCCCCGAATGCCGTAGTGTTTCAGCTTTAGCAATAGTGTCTTAATCTATAATAAATAATTATAGAGGTAAAGTGAATGGTGATAATGATAACTTGAATGCGTTCGCTCAGATACCTATTTCAAATACAACTGACTGACTGAGACCGCGAACAACTCGACACGATTTTCGTTTGAGCTGATAACGTCGCGTCGCTACTCGCCGCTTGCGCTGCACTGCAGAGGTGAGAGCGATAGCGAACACGGTGCCCGGGTGGCGCGAGTTAAGGAATTACGAACGACGTTGTCAGCTCGATGCTATCATAGATTTTTTTCGGTACCGAAATTATTTCGGTTAAGGTACTAGTAATATAAGGGTATAAACGATACCGTAAAATAATACAGGTATAATATTTTTTTTAACGGTACCACAACCGATATTTTCTACCTTTTTGGGTCTACCCCTAAATCAAAACTGTATCGTAATGCTATACCGGTACCATACCCTTATACCTTTACCGTTTTCAGTCCCTGACCCCGAGTCCCTGCGCGTGCATCTGTCCGAGGTGGTATAGCGCCAGTACGTGACCTGTCTGCGACGCCAGGGAGAAGTACTTGTTGGCCTGCTTGAAGTCACGACGAACACCGATACCATCTATAATTTGAACATATTGTCATATATAACTAAAGAAAGGGGCTTGCGGTTGAAATTAATAACCAGTTTCAATATATTTTTTTTATATTAATTCTATGTAATCTCTGACTTTCTATCAAAGACCTAGATCGCTTCAGAGCAATTATTAATTTGAGCAATTAAGTGCGGTGTGGTGTACTCACTCAAGTACATAATACCAAGTTGCAGCTGTCCCTCTGCCCATCCTTGGTTGGCCGCCATCGTGAAATATTTAAACGCTGTTTTTGGATCCTTCGGAACGCCACGACCCTAGTAAAAGTGAATTATTTTATTTATTGTATTCCCATTGATATGTAGGAAAATAGGTATTTGACAAGCTCGTTCGTTTATTTTTCGGAAAAATGAAACTAAATGATTTTTTTTAATATTATTATTTTCTTTTTGTTGTATTACCTTTAGATACATAACACCCAACCCAACCTGTGCGACTGGATTGTCGAATTTTGCAGCTTCCTCGAAGTACCGCAGATCACGTTCGTAATCTGGCTAAAATATTTGCAGAATAGATTAACGATTAGTAGATTGCGCAATGACAACTACTAAAACTTTAAGATTAATTTCAAAATTTCAAATACAAAGTCATTTACTAAGCCTTTTTGATGTAGATGCTTAATTAAAATATTTGGTATAATTGTTAAATGAATGTGACAAGAGATTTCATTACCTGTGCCTGTTTCTCTCTAATTTTTTTCTCAGCGAGCTGCTGGTAGTACTCTGTGATATTGGTAGATTCGAAACCGTCGCGCTCGGGGTCAATGTTGCCTGGACCGGCGCCTTCCATGTTACTGGCCACTTCGAACAAAATATCACATCATCATCTCCCACATTTCCGCCAGTTTAGTTTAGGAGTTGTGCTGTAGAAATGAGTTGGGGATTCTCAATTATGAGATCCTTTGTCTTTTGCCAAAAATTAATACGAATATTTTGACAGCAAAGTTTTTATTTCGTCAGCTAACTTACTCATTTACGTTAGCGACTATTTGCAATTTCGAGATAAAAATCTATATACATAATTACATATATAAAAATGAATCCCTTTTTCCCTTAGTCACGGCATCACGCGTGAATGGCGGGACAAATTTTACGAATACTTTTTTGTTGTATTTGTTATTTTTAACGAGAAGATTCTTAAAACACCCTGAAAGTCCTACGGGGACGGGAGAAAATCGGATTGCGCGGGCAGAAGCTATTAAAATATTAAATATATCATTAAATATTTTTTATCTTCTTACCCTTGTCTGCTACCCTCATATACAAGTCCATGGCCTTGGGACAAGAGCTGGGCACAGTGTTACCGCTCCAGTATCGGTACGCCAGCGCCATCTGTGCGAAATCGCTGTCCGCAAGCGCTCCCATCATGTAGTGTACTAGCGCTTTGGCCTGAGACACCGGGACTGCTATACCGGTCGCGTATAGGAAGCCCATGCCCTGAAAGTGTACATAGTCTCCTATATGCAGCAGTTATGAAGATAGTGTAATGCAATGTACTAAGGACTACTCAAAACAGAACGAATGTGATCAGTTCCTTTAGCTAGCAGACTTTTGAGACGATGAGTTCTAGTTTTGACTGCCTAGACTGCCTCGTTGGCCGAGTGGTTGCAAGTGCGACTACCGGGCAAGGGGTCTCGGGTTCGATTCCCGGGTCGGACAATGTATTACTGGATTTTTAAAAAAAATCTCAGTAGTAGCACGGACTCTGGAAATGTGTCCGGTATATGGCAATAGGCTCACCCCCTATTACTTGGGACTCATAACATTAATAGTGAAAAGTGGGTGTACTTCTATGTGCACCTCTACCTACTCCTTCGGGGATAAAAGGCGTGATGTTATGTTCTAGTTTTGCTAATATTCAACAAGTCATTGAAAATGTATTATAACTCACAGCATGAGCGTCAGCGTTTCCTTCAGCAGCCATCTCCTCAAATATGTTCTTAGCCCTTTCGAAGTCCATTTCTATGTTTTCTCCAAACAGGTAGGACCAGGCCAGCTTGATCTTAGCGGGGGCGTAGCCTGTGTCGGCAGCCTTTTTCAGTTGAAGCATAGCTCTGTGAAGATCGGCCTTAATCTTTTCTAATTCCCATTCATAGCCTTTGCCGGTCAGATATGACCAGACTAACTTCATCTTACCCAGGATATAGTCCATAGTGTCATTAGGTAGCCGAACTTTAAACACGAGTCTGTAAAACTCGGGAGTCTGTCTAAGCAGTGTCAGCAATGCTGCTTCATACAGTTCTTTGGCTAAACATTATAAAACAAGGTAAATTCACATCATCCATAATATCAATGAAGAGCTGATTTGTAATTATAAAATGAATTGTAATAACTACCTAGCAAAAGGATGATTTTTGCTATTAGTGAAAAGTTTAGGAAGGTCTCGAATAGCATGCAGGTGGACATAGCTTATGTCTATAGATATCTCTTAATTGACCTACCTTCTTTTAACTCGGATGGTAGTTCATGCTCCTTTTCCTGAACCAGTGGTGGCAGACTATCCATAATATCTTGAAGAACTTCATTAAATTTCTGATGAATAAGAAAAATAAAAGATTTATCCCCAAAGGAAAGTATAATAATGGTGTTGATGATGGAAGCTAGAGGTTTTAATAGTATATATGAGAGTGGTTTACGTTAAATATTTTTTACCTTAATGTCCCCTTCGGTTTTACATGTTGCTGTCAATATATGCCTTAGAAGGCCTTTCTTCAACAATTTAAGATAGTACTCCACTTTATCCAAATTATTATCTGTAAATAGCAGGTAAAAATATATAATTGGTAGGTAGATGAAGCAAAGTACTAAGCAAGTGAGGTATTGCATGATATTAGATACATTACACTAGACTTAAAATTAATATTAACTTCATTATATCTTTCAAAAGGCTTTACCATATCTTAGACTTTAAAGGAAATTTTGTAGTTTCTAACTTCTACTTATAGACGCAAATTTAATTAATTCGAATATTTTATCACAGTGTAAGTAAGAGGTTGTGCAATTAAAAACTTTTAGGCTTGCAATTGGAGGCATTTCTCTATAATATCACTGTGCAAATTTACCCTTATTATTTCCCCAGTCTTCGGGAACATCGCTACTATTTCTAAGAGCATCAATGTACTCTTCAAATATCTGTATAGTACTGTACATAGTATCTGTATTTTTTGTGTCCAAGTCATCATCACTTTCAGTTGTAATTTTTCGCTTTTTCTTCAGAGCTTCAGGGCCTAGCAAGTTACTAGACAGTAAAAACACGCACAGATATAACAGATACACTTCTAGACGAGGCATATTTTCAATTTAATCAATTAGAAAACAATAATAAAGTTTTTATCATTGAGTCATTCGTAAACTTAACGCTTAAGTTATAATAGGGTATGGTATTCTGGATATATAGTCTTTTTTTGTGAATATATATTTATTAATATCAATGCTGGTAATAGGGAGTTTACATTTTTTGTAAATGTTTTTTTCGATCATTGTCTGTTTGTATAAAGCAGCGATTTGACCTTGAACTTTGACGTTTAACCCGTTTAACCAGACCAACAGGCCAACAGCTGACATTGATCTTATATGACAATTGACAATGGATCTGGATATAATTCTCTTTACCATTGTAAATAATATTAAGGTGAAATTATGATGATCTTAAAAATCCCATAAAAATTTGAATATTTATTAATTAAAAACAGAAAAATAAAATAAATTACAAAATATATTGAAGTTAAGTTTTTTTACTTCCGACCTTCTGACAGCCGGTATTTCAAGTTTGTCATTTTTCTTTGACGTTGACTTTTATTTGACGGAATAATCAATGACAGTTGGAAACACCGACTTTGCCGAAAATTACGAAAATTTTGACAATAACCACAAAACTTTGTATTTACAAGATATTTGGGGACAAAAGTGATTTAAATAGTGTTGAATTAAATTGAGATTCTAATTGGAGTGGTTAAAACCACTCTATAACCTAAAATGTTTCGTGTACCAGTTAGAAGTGGATTTAGCTTGCAGCTACTCTTGGTTCGGCTACAGCACTCGAGCAGTTCCATAAGGAGTACTTTTATAGAGTATTTTACAGTAAATCATGGGCACAAACATGTCAAATCGAGTTCTGTGGTTCCACTGTACGATTCAAGTGTCCCATTCGTTAATGCTGGCATGAATCAGGTATATTTAATATGTTTACTGTATTATACGCACTTAGGTACTCTGCATTATGTGTTTCTAATGAATGTTTGTGTAGTTATGCTGTACACAAATCAGTCTAAATTAAGAAGAAAGTAACCATTCTATATATTTGTTTATTTAGTACTTATCCATTCACTGATATTTCACAATAAAATTGCACTTGGAATCTAGTTTTCTTGGACTTGGACTGCATGATATTATGACATTATAGTCCTAGACATATTAAAAGTCGCGGAGAACCTAACGGGTAACCGGGGCTCCGGCTCAACGTGCAGGAAAAGGAACGGGGTGGTTTTTAGTCAGTAAGAGTCTGACACTCCCTCCCGCCTCACCCAGGCAGGAGCAGTCATTGATTTACCCTCTTAAAAAAATACATATTAAAAAAAGTAGAAATATTTTTGTTTCAAATTCTGAGTAACAGCAAAGAATTTTAGTGATTAAAAAAAATTGATTCAACTGTTTCTATTGTTTCAGTTCAAGGGAGTGTTTCTTGGTAAAGTGGCTCCACCTTGTGCTAAAGCTGTGAACTCTCAAAAATGTGTGAGGGTAGGTGGCAAGCACAATGACCTGGATGTGGTTGGCACTGATGGACATCATCACACCTTCTTTGAGATGCTCGGGAATTGGTCATTTGGAGATTATTATAAGGTAAATATTAGGTAACATAAGATAATTAACCTATTGACTGATACTATATAGACACAATAGATATAATGCATTGAGACTTGTGTGGATCTGTGTTCCAAGTACATGTTGGGTTAAGCAATGTTAAATTGTAAAATTCTGTTATAAAATACCTGGGAGTCTGCAATTGTGCCCGGTATATGGCAATAGGCTCACCTCTTATTACACGGGACTCATAACATTAATTGTGAAAAGTGGGTGTTACATTATAAAGTGGCATTAAGTGCCGTAATGTGTACCTCTGCCCATCCCTATCGGGGATGTGAATGAAGAAAGATGTGATGTCATGTTATGTATGTTATAAAATATTCTGGTTCATCATCATCATGTCAGCTACAACACATCCACTGCTATAAACGTAACGCCTTGGTTCTGGTGAATTCATAGCATTCTTATTGTTTGAGTGATTTTCCTACCTTTGCCCATCCTATGGTTAAGTGGTTATAAAATTCTAGACTTAACAACTGAAATGATAATAAACTAAATGAATCATATCAAATTTATTGACAGAAAGAAGCATGTCAGATGGCCTGGCAACTGCTGATAGGTCCATATAGATTGAAGCCAGAAAACCTGGTGGTCACATACTTCGCAGGAGATGCTGCGATAGGACAGAAAATGGACACGGATTGTAGGGACATCTGGAGGGAAATTGGGTAAGTTGTTACCACACAGCAATTGGGTAGTTTTCAGGGTATCAAAATTAAAAATCTAATTTAGTTTGTCAGTTATATATAACTCGAATACAGACAGTAGGTCTAGGCAGCAGATGAGTAGAGCTTCCAATGGGAAGTCACTCCGCATGACAGATCGCACAGAAGATTTGCTCATAGCCTTGGGGCTGATTGCAAATGTATTTGGGAAAAAAAAAGTTTGTCAGTTAGATAATGAAAAATTATTAGACACATGCAAGATTTTCCTCCCTTAAAAATGGTTAAAGCAGGATAATATATTTTAGCTGCAAATTAATTAAAAATGTGAAAGGCATTAAATACTTTTTGACTTTTGTAAGGCATTTGTCCCTCTAAAGTACCAGTATTATTTTTAATCTGCTATATAAAAATAAGTCGGGTTTTCCTTCCTGACGCTATAATTCCAAAACGCACGAACCGATTTCCCCGGTTTTGCATTCGTTGGAAAGGTCTCGGGCTTCGTGAGGTTTATAGCAAAGAATGTTACATAAAACGAAGCCATCTGGTGGCAGAACGGAGTTCGCCGGGTTTGCTAGATTTGTATAACACAAAAGTTGAAATTAATTTTTGTAACCTTCCATTTTCCTATTCTATAGTGTGGCTGAAAGTAGACTGATGGCAAGAGGAGCAAGGGATAACTTCTGGGAGATGGGTGTGACGGGCCCGTGTGGACCCTGCACTGAGATTCACCATGTCAATCCCAATGGATCACTCACTGAAATCTGGAACCTTGTGTTCATTAATTCTTTTAGGTGAGTTTAAGACAGTTGGCAATAGTCTGTAATGTAGAGGGGGTTTCTCCCCCTACTGTATAATGAGGCCTTAGTACAAGTTTGTTTTGCGTTTAAAGTGGTCGATTCAAAAGACTGGTAACGCACTTGTAACGCCTCTGGTGTTCCAGGTGTCCATGAGCGACGTCGATTGCTTACAATCAGATGATCTGTCTACTCGATAACCGGTTCATGCCATAAAAAAAACCGAAACGAAACCGCGTTCGGTACTCAAGAGTTGCAAGCACGAATAACTATCGCATTCGTAACGTAATAGTATTGAGCGCGTTCGGTGTTCTGTTGGGCCGGTTCTAATGACCCAACCAATACGGTAGTTGACAGGTAGTCAAATTCAATACTTTTATTGGAATGTCAAAAACGATACTTTTCTTTGAATTTTGTATTGGATCGCAACTTATGATGTCATCATATTTCTGCGTCATATAGCATATGTTCTTATTTCCTTAAAATTAGCGAGAAAAAATCCAAAAGTAGGTAAATTGTCAAATCAATGGATGAGAGTATGATTATTTTTTAATTGTTTATTGCATTGATAATTTGAAACAATTTAGGAAACTAGCCAATTATACCTATTCATGCTTGGCTGAGGAGAGTGCCATACTCTGATTGGTTAGTAGTTATTTCATTGGAACTGGCCAATCAGAACGTCAAACGCGTACTCGTATAGATTACTTTAAACGTCAAAGTCGTACTGAGCTCTCAGATTTATGATAAGTTTAAACAGAAACTAGAGATATAGTACACTAAAACTTTCCTAAAGAATCACTCTAACTAATGGCTAAAATTGCTGCAGAAATCAGACTCCGATGGGACCTTTTATAAGAACAGACTGACATACAGTCATATTTTTTTTCGACATTAAAAAATAACATTTAAGTCTTAACTGTTCAATCCCCAAGCGGTCACTTCTCTCCACTTACTCCATTATAGCCCTTATTTCCGATGTTTAGAGACTACTTTTGTATGAACCAATTTTCGGTACGATATACCAACGTATTAAATGTTTAATTAGTGTAAATGTATTTGATTGTCAATTCCTTTTACAGAGATGACACAGGCAAAGTGAATGGTTTGGCGAAATACCACGTGGATACCGGTATGGGATTGGAGCGTATGGCCGCCATCTTGCAAGGAGTACCCTCTAACTACGAGACAGACTTGTTCCAGCCGCTCATCAAAGCTATTGAGAAGGCATGTGATTTTTAACTCTATTTTTTAGTGAGTAGGTTCATTTTAGAAATGATATTTCTAATACAAGATGTTTAAAGGCTGTGATTTTAAACCCTATCGTCCTGGATTGAAGGTTGAGTATACTGCACTACTAACATCATAAATTGAGATATGAATGTAATACAAAACTTGCCATTTTGCACCCTATTTTCGTAGCGATGAGGTTTATTTTTATTGCACTCGCAGTTTCACAAAAACAAAGAATGAAGTTTGTAATACAATAATAGTTAATAATAATAATACAAGACTGTAAAAATAACATGCAATTTTGAACCCTATTTTCCTAATTATAAGGTTTATTTTTCAATGCAGTAGCATTTTCGCGCAAGAAAAAAAGTGGGATTTTGAATGTCTTAAGATTAAAATTAACAACCTTAATGTTCCATTCTCCAGAACAGTAAAGGAGTGTCTCCGTATGGAGGCAGCTACCTACCTGATGCTGTAGTGGACGCGGCGTACCGTAGACTGGCAGACCACGCCAGGATGATCAGCATCTGTCTTGCTGATGGAGTCTTTCCAGCTACCAGGTAAGATCTGGTTACTATGTCAGACTGTGAACTTGCGATATGGAGTGAGTCAAGAATTAGCGGATTTTTTAATGGTAAGCAATCAGCGTCGCCCATGGACACCTGGAACACCAGAGGCGTTACAAGTGAGTTACTGGCCTTTTGGGGATTAGGAGTTTGAGGATCGTTGGAGATTCAGGAATTGGGGAGATTGGGGAAGGGGAGGGTAATTGGGCCTCCGGTAACCTCACTCACACGACGAAACACAACGCAAGCGTTGCTTCACGTCAGTTTTCTGCTCGGCCGTGGTATCACTCCGGTCGAGCCGGCCCATTCGTGCCGAAGCATGGCTATTTAATGAAATGAAGATTAAAAGTTCCTTATGTGGTTCTTGCTGAAACAATAAGGTAGTTGCCTAAATT